CGAGCTGTGAATGTGCCAACTGCGAAACAAACAAAAAACAAACAAACAACGCAGAGTGGACTGAAGAGAGAACTGTTACAATAAATAAATAATAATTTAATGCATGTCAGTGATTGGTTCATGTGCTGCTGAGATATATATCTATATAGATGTATATAAATATTAAAAGAATAAACGACAGCCTTTGTTTTGGTTTTATTCTGTTTTTGTTTTGTTTTTAGATGAGAGCCGTTAGTTTGTCCATCCTCCGACACTGTTCTCCTCTTTTTGCACTGAAGATGAAACTCAAAGCTCAAAGTCGCCTGGACTTTTCTCAATAAAGTTGAACAAATTGCTGCTTTTCTGTCATACTGTTTTTATTTGTTACTGTGTTTGTGCTTAGGCAGTTGACTAAAGATCAGTTATCTTGTCAACTATTTTGTGATTTAAAAAAAAAAAACGTATAACAAAATTGCTGCTTCCAAGGCCAAACTTGACTGACTTTTTACTTGAACATTATTTTTACTGTCTTACATTGTTGTACTGGTACCCAAGTTAACAGCATTTTTTGTGTTAAAATCAACTTTTACTATCAGTGTTTCACATATGTATAAATATAGGTATTGTATGCTGCAAAATAACAATGTAAAAGAAGAGGGAAAAGCTTATTGGACAGCTAGTAGCCAATGAGATGAGAACACTAAACGTCTGCAGGGGACCAGTTAGTTCACAACACCACCAGCAATGTTGCCAATTTAGCAACCTTGTTACTAGATTTAGCATATTTTCAGACTACCACGGCAACTGATTTTGAAACCGCACGTAGCGACACATTTAGCCATTTAAAAAAATTGGGTATTTGGCAGCAGTCGGCTGCACGGAAGAAAGCTGCACACATTATTTGAGTTAAGTTGCTTGTTCAATAAAATGGCATATATGCCCTATTACTAGCTTGTACCTATACTTATTGATCCGTTTTGTAGCATGTTAACTACCTATAGACTGCCTAGAACTATAATTATTCAGAATGTGTAGGTTTAGTAGTTATGACATCACAACGTCATTTAGCAACTAATTGACCTGCCTCTGGCAACTTCCCCGGAAAATTAGTTGGCAACAGTGAGTTGTAGTCATTTCGATCGGAGACCACCAACTGCCCCAAGACTGACAATACACGGTAGGAGTTTTTGTTATGCATAATTACACATAATTTATGAAAGATAACATAGTAACGGTCATAAAGGTTATCTGTTGGTTGAAGCTGTATTCGTACATCAAAAACTACAGTACTTTATATACCTAAAGTAGTACTGCGCTTAAACCGTTAGCATCACTTTAGCTGACTTTACATCACGTGGGCAATTGTACGGTACTTTTTCTTTGAGTACATTGCGGTTACATTACAAGTTATATAACTCACTAAACTTAAAATATCTTTAATTAGAATTATTATTATTACAATTATTTAATGTTCCAGGTGTTTCTTTTGGCAGAACTGTGAGTTTACTGATGAGAAGTAAAAAAATCGGAATTAATATTGTTGAGATCCACTTTATCATTTAAAAAAAAATCAAATTAACAATCACATATGAGGATTCACTACTTTTTTACTGTTTTTACTGACTTTTAAAAATATGTATTAATATTAATTTAAATCGGGATGATATAAAGGAAATGACGTCATTTTCAGCTGTAGTTCAACTGTTAATGTAATGTACAGATTTGTCCTCCAGATGTCGCTCTTTACCTTTTTTTAATGAACTTGGTTTCCTTCTTTCTTCTCGAGTCCACAAAGCTCATTGGTTTCTTCTGACAAGCTGACTAGATATTGTATTCATATATTGTCTGCATCATCTGATAGTCAAATCTTTTTTGTTCTCTCAAAATCTTTGAATATCTGTTTACTTGTGATACTTTCTGTTAACTCTTTTTGACATGTATATATTTACATTATGCCAATTTTTATTTAATAATGTATACTTTTTGTATTTTGCACGTTAAGGTTTTCACTATAGCTAATGAAGAACATTAAATAAATACAGTTTATTTAATCTGGAAAAATCATTTTCAAAATGATGAACTTTTTTGGCACATTTGCATTTTAATATTTTAATGTTTTTTTTTGTTTCCTGTCAAGGAACGCTTCATGTGTTAAAGCTGCATTCTCTGTAGTTTCCACCAGGGGGCGACTCCTCTGGTCCTATAGAGGTTTATGAGTAAATTCTTCTTCTCTCTTGATTATTGCCTCAGTAAATATTGTACGTTTTTTGGTTTTTGGTCTCAATCTTTAGTTTCAAGTCTTCTCCAATACAGCATGTTAATTTAGCAAATTAAGATACAATTAAACACATTAGGTTTGGAAACATTTAAAATGAGACATTCAAAATAAATGGAAAGCTTAAATTGAGCAGCTTCTGTCAGTTCTGTTTTAATAGATTAAACAAAGATAACTCTTAACAAGTGATTGAAAAGACATGAATCTCTCTCTCATGAATCTCACTTATGAGGTTTAAATATGTCATTTGAGTTCTGGCAGGCTGTGATTTATAAAATATATATTTATGGAAAAAACACGGAAATATTATAGTTATTTAAGAAGTAAAACTTCTCAATTGTTATTTTAAACCGTTTCTGAACTCTTGTCTTCAGTTCTTCCTCCGTAGGTGCTCAGTTTAGTTCTGGGTGCTTTAATGTATAGACTTTTTCCTCTATTGTCTTTGACATGAAATATAAAGTGTCGTATGTATTTGTAGCTTGTGTGATGGTAAAGATCTGAAATGTATAAGTAGTTAGAACAATGTGCAGTGACCGCCTCTGGACACCGGGGGGCGCCTTGTGACCGTAGACAGAAACAAAGTGAAAGATTCTGCCGTTTAAAGCAGAAACCATGTTTAAGAAGCAGGTTCTTCTGAATTCAGACATCAACGCTGCTCTGTGCGATTGCGTCACGTCCTTTATGGTTCTCTCTAGAACCACGGAGCGCAGGGTTCCAGGATGGTTTGAAGAGGGTTGAAGGGTATCGGAGGAAGTTCTTAGGGTTCCTGGAGGAGATAGGTGTTTTCTAGTAGGCTCCGTTGTGTTCTAAAGAGGCTCTGGGGGTTCCTATGGGGGTTTTGGTAATCTCAGAGAGTCGTAGGAATGATTCTAAAAGTGGTACATTGGTCCATTAAATACTCTAAAGGTTTCTAGTGGGTTCCAGCTGCTTTACGGTTCTGATCCTTTTTAGGGAGCCTCTTAGGATCTAGAAGGAGAACCCAGAGAGGGTTCCATTCCAGAGGAGGTTCAAAGGGGCTCTCTGAGGCCTCTGGGTTCTTGGATGGGTTCCTCAGGCTTTATATGACGTCCTAGGAGTCTGCAGAAGGTTCTGGTTTCATCAGACAGAGGTTCTTGTCATTTGAAGGGGATCCAGGAGCCTGGATGGGTTCCACAGGTATCTCAGGCAATCATAAGGGGGTTCCAAGAGGCCTGTTGGGTTCCAGGCGTTTTAAGGACCTCTAATACTTGGTCCTGTATCTCAGGGTCTGGTGTTCCAGGAGGTCTTGAAGAGATTTGAGCTCACAGTTCCAGATGGTTCTACAGCTGATGCTGTCTTATTGTCACGTTTGTTCATTTATTTATTAAACCGTGATTAATAAAATAAAATCAAGTCAAGTGAACCTTGATTTTAAATACAAGCATCTCATTCGAGTCGTTCCTGGCATGTTGTGTGAAAATGTGATATTCAAAGAAAAACACCAGTTTTATTGATTTAATGAAGTGTACCAGATTTTAGAAGAGAACATGTAGTAATACTAATAATAACAATAACATAATTATATCCCGAACAATAATGCTAATTAATAAAGATGATTTATTTTAATAAGCCTGTTGCCTTCTGGTTTGTAATCCTCTTCTTCCTCCTCTTCCTCCTCGGCATGTTCTCGTTGACTTTCTCCCCGCACACGGATCTTTTTTTCGGGCTTCCAGACGCTTCTGGGTCCCTGGAGGAAAAGCAGCGGGCTAAAGGAGGATAAATATTTAATCAGCGCTGCTCTAGAGTTTGTGCTTAATTAGAGGAATTCTGCTCCTGCCACGAAAATGAACAAAAAAATGACTGCTGGAGATGTCAAGCCCCCCCCCACCCAAAAAAAGCAGAAACATCAAGAGGCGTGATCAGAACCACACAAACAGTTATTATTTTGAGAGTGATTGATCTAAATTATACGACTAAAGAAAAAATATATACAAGTGTGAAATAAAACACTGAAACGCATCGTTTTAGCGCTGCCTGTGTGTGTGTGTGTGTGTGTGTATGTGCGCGTATGGTTGTGTGTGCGTGTGGTTGAGTTAGAGAGACCGCGCCATATGTCCGTGCGTAAAACAGAGCGCAAATTGGTGCCAAATCCGCGCGTCGCTCGTGTCAGTCATCCTAACGGCGGGATGACAGAGGAGATTATTCCACATGAAACCTGTTAACCCCCCCGCCTGCAAAAAAGAGAAGCGAAGTGAAGGAAGCCTGAGCTTCTTCTGAGGAAACGAATACAGATCCGAGCTTCAGTATGTCGGTCGTGTCTCGCTGAGGAGAATCTGACGCGGAAGGTTTGGATGTTTGACGGAATTGAACCTCGTGCCGACAGATTGAGAAGCCGCATATTAACACAAATAAAAAGTCCTCTAAATGAGCTCGTGAGTTGTTGCGTGAAGCTGCCGAACGTCACGTGTCGTAATCAATGCATTTGATCACCCGTATGTTTGCCTCATTAGCTGACATATCTCCTTCATCCACTTTTTAAAAGTTTCATGTTTTAGCTGTGCACGCGGAAACCCTTATTTGGCGTGCCTTTTCTTTTTTTTTTTCTCTCTCAGCCGTGACGCAACGCGGCTTCAGCCCAATGGGGCTCCAGAGGTACGACCGATATGCAAACGAGCAGCCCTTATTTGGGCGTGTCCCCGCCCCCTCGCCGATCCGCGCCGGTCCCGCGGGAGGCTCCGGAGCCTCGGACCCCGGGAGAAGGAGCTCTCCGCCGGGACGGAGGAGCCATAAAGAGCCGGGGAGGGAGGGGGATGAGATTTTCTCGCTGCCCAATCCCCCTGTTCCCCCGGGAGCGAGCAGCCTCCCGCGCTCCGTCCCTCCCTCTTGTTTGCTAATCATTTCATTTTACTCCTTTTTGAAGCGGTGGCTTGTTTTTTTATCCCACTTTTCATTTCTCCACAATCCGCGGCTGCTCGCCTCCCTCTGATCCCGCTCTCCACGCTGCGTTCTCCCGGCGTCAGGCTCTGGATCCCGGTGATTCTCGCCTCTCTGACTCTCCCCCCTCACTCTCTCTCTCTCTCTCCCTCTCCCTCTCTCCCTCTCTCCACCTTTCTCTGCCGGCTCCTCGGAGATGCTCTCCCCGCTCTCCGCTCCTCTCTCCGCCCTCTTTTAACTTCACAGAGCCGCCGGTTTTCTAAAGCGCAGAGTGCTGCGGAGCCGCGGCTGGGATCTAAAACCACCCCGCAGAAACCCAGGGGGATCCCGGACTCTTCTTTGGACCAGGACCCTGCACTTTGGGGAAGCGTGTCCTCCACCCCTCCTGCTCCACTCCCTCCGCATCGCTCCTCTTTTTCTCCACCTTAATCCAGGTGGTCCTTTGGCTTTTTTTTTTGGAGTGTTGGGTACAAGGAGGATTATTCGTCTTCTTTCTTGTTTCTGGTGAAGACAAAGCTCCCAGAAGGACACTTTGATGTTCTCCATCCAGGACAGCCTCCCCCGGGGGGCCCTGACCATGAAGGAGGAGCCGCTCCCCACCGGCATGACCCCGGTCCGCTCCTGGATGCAGGGCGCGGGGATTTTGGACGCCAACACAGCGGCCCAGAGGTAAAAAAAAAAAACACACACATACACACACAATCAAAGCAACAACAAATCCCCCCAAAACTATGCAACTTGTCGTGTCTCCGCGCGCCGCTCGGAAGCAGCTGGACCCTCAGAGTCTCCGCGCGCCTTCCCCTAAAATACACGTGAAAGTTACCGGATTCTGATCAGAATTCACTACTAAAAGCAGAATGTGTTTGGACAAAGGTCACGAACTGCAGCTCGTTTCTCCTTCAGGCTTCAGGGTGGAGGTGTCACTTTGGGTGGTGGTGTCAGGGCGTCACGTTGCCTCCTCCTGTCCGGGGGACCCGGGTTCGCGTCTGGGGTCCCCCGCACTCTTCTTCGCGGTCTTAATAAACCGAAACTGCTGAATGATTGTTTCCGTCGCGGCTGATTATTGATTATTGAACTCACCGAATCCCGACACGCGGACACGCCGCGCGCGCGCGCACCGCGCACCGCGGAGCGGCGGCTCGGCTCCGTTTCTCCGGAACTCCTCCAGAACATTTCAAAGGTTATTCCATTCAATCCTTGTGAGATGTAAGACTTCATTATTTAATGAAATCACTGCGGGTTTTTTCTCCACTGCTAAAATCTCTAATCATGCGGCGGGTCAAATAGAAACACGATGTTTTATTTATGAACACAGTCAAGGAGGAAATAAATCTTAATGTAAGTGGGTCACAGGTTAAATTAAAGCTTCTCAGACGCAGCGTAACATGTTTCACTTTGACATTAAGCGTTTTATTTCTACTTTAGCTCTGAAATGTTTTCACGATTCAATAAATTATTCTAAAGCGGTAATCTGAATGACTCAAAATCCCAATTTTAACAGTAAAATATTGATGTAATTTAAATAAAAATAAGAGTGGGTTTAGAAAGTCTAATAATAATAATAGTAGTCAGTTATTTCTGATGAAAACGGGACAGTCAGGTGAGAGGTGAAACCTGAACCGAAGTAAATCAATGCAGGATTTCTCTGCCCGGCTTTAAATCAGATGCTGCTCCTCCATCACCTCCATCACCTCCGCAAGCACGCGCACTGACAACTCCGCTCCTCGCGATTCTTCCGTGTGCTTTCTGAAGAAGTCTGCAACAAATGAAATAGAAAACTGAAGACAATTCGGTTTAATTCGCACCGTTTTCAAATTAAATTATGTCATCGTTATGTCATATATAAACCTTAAGTTTCTGATTAAAAAACATTTTTAAACATTAGAAACATTTATGGCTCAGATCTGGTTACACAAAATACAAAACATTATTTGATTAATAAAAATGCCATATGAATAACTTTTTTAAACACTTTTTAGAACACCTACAGAAGAATATAATTTAATTGAGTTAATTTATAATCTATTTGACACAAAAAGTAAAACATATTGACGTTAATGTTCAGTTTTTTTCAGGGCTTTAAATCTTGAAGAAAATCAAAAATCAATATCAATTGTATCAATAATATCGAGGAGCTGCAGTGAGATAATTTAAAACAGTCACAAATCGTTTTTTAAAATGTCTGAACTCATCTGTTAATTGGTCAATCAAAGGGTCATATAAGTACTAAAGCAGTACTTCAGTACTGAAATACTGAAATACTGAAGTACTGCTGAAAACACGTACATGAGAGGGGGATTGAACAAAGAACAGAATCATATTTTATGTGTCATATAAGTGACATATATGTTTAGTTTATTTCTGAATGAGTAGGAATCTTTTCAACACTAAAGCTGCTGAAGGTGTAAGATTTAGATTTATTTATTTAGATTGACAGGTGTCATTGAGACAAAAAAAAGTGACTCTGACACTCCGAACATGTGAAGAAGAATCTGATCTGACGCCTTAAATCGGAGAAGAAATTGATTTTTAAAGCTTTATATGTGAAGAGACAATTTAAGTTATTTTTATCGTCTCAATTCTGCAGCTGCACATTCAGTTCTAGTTTAGGAATAATATAAATAAATAGTTAAAGGATGAAGGTTTGACTTCTGGCTGCTGGGAGTCAAAAGAAAACTCACAAATTAGACTTTTAAAGCAAGAGACGATGAAAGAAGAAGAGATTATATTAAGTATAATGTAAACACACACATATATATATATATACACACACACATATCTTAACTCGGATCATCCATAAGAACAACTTGCTTCAGCTGCTAATCCATCAGTAATTCTCCCGTTATTGATCGCTGATCAGAATCTTTCTCTTTCTCTCTCTAAGCCATTTATTTATTAAACGATAAACACGGACGTGTGAGAGAGTGGAGTCGATGTTCGCTTTTATGTTCTCAGTTCTTATCGTGACCTGACCTGATCTCTAATAATCACCAGCAGAGAAAAGTTTGTCATCTATAAAACAATATGTTATTTAATAATTTAATGCTCTACAAGCAGTTTAAATCGGTGCAAACCGTTCGTCTTCTTCACCACAAAAAGTTGAGTAGAAATCGAGCGTTTTCATTTTTAAATGTTGTGAAACAATCGTGACCATAAACATCATAGTTTGATCCTCCGTGTCTGACTCCTCAGTGTGGCGATGAGGCGAAGAGATTACTGTTGTTGTCCTGTAGATTATTAATCCAGATTATGAAGAGAGAGCTGTGTCTCATTTTAGGATTCACGTCTTCACGCTTTGTTTTGTGGAAACGTCCGTGTGTCTGTCTGATCAAATCAGATGATAACATCTTGGAGTTCGGATCAACTTGTTGTGAAGCATAAACTAGGAAACCTTCATATAAGGTGCAAAGAAAAGTAGAAGACAAAACAACACATTACATTTATATAAAATAATGTCTTCATCAAAGCAAAGTTTCTACTGTGAAACAACGTCACAGTTGGAGGTCGTTCGACCGTGGATCAATAAGACCAATAGCAGGAGGTGATCGGATATTGATCGGACCCACAGACTTGTTCTTATGACGCCTAGAACCAAAGCAGTTTGACAGAAACTGGAGCTTTGCTGAAGGACATAAATAAATAAAAAATCCCATGAATATACATTATACATGTTAGCAGAGCGGAGATGGTCACATGGTCGGCGCCCGTGAAGCGATCCGTCTCCATTCGTCTCGTGTGAAGAGAAAAAAGCAGAAAAGACACCTGTGACCGGTCTCCTTACTGCTCTTGTAAAAAAGCGTGTGAGAGGTCAGAGGTCACTGTGCACTCAGGCGGGCGGCTCTTATGAGAGGGATTCACAGATCATTTATATATAAATATATATATGTATATATATGTTAAATATATATAGTGAGTAATTGTGCAGCGAGTGTACGTGTGTGTGCTTCATGCTTTCATGAGAGAGAAGGGGAATGTCCTCCCGGTATGAACCCTCCTCTAGAGACCCGGTGGGCTGGTGACCTCTGAGGCGTGACCTCTGGTCACGTCCGTACGAAGAGGTTTAGTTTTTCTTCGTTTGTGTTTGTGAGGTTGTTGTCTGAAGGTCAGAGACTAAGCGTGTCTTCTTCTTCTTCTTCTTGGGATGAACTCGTTGTGAAGTTAAAAACTGATAAAAACCTTTATTTATTTTGTTCGCTGTATAAAAACGTCTTCTCCAGTCCCTTTGTTTATAAATTATGGAACTTCAAATGTTTTTAAAGCTGTTGAATATTCAACTTTTAGTCTCTGGAACATTCCTCTGAAAATGATCAAATAAACGCAGTTTTTCTCATGATTAACTTAAATCTCAGATTTTTGGAATCACATCCGGACGAATGTTCGCATTGTTCCGTCAATGTTTTTTTATTTCATGAATATTTAGTGAACAAGCTTGAAAATATTCTTTAATGAGACTGCAGAGAAATCCCTAAAAGGGAGAATTGATCCTCGGGGAAAATGGTCTCTTTGTTTTCAGGAAGAATTGACTTGCAGGACTCAGTAACAGAAACCCCCCCCGCACTGTTGGCAGGTGTGTGCGTGTGCCGGTTTGTGTGCGCGTGTTGGTTTGTGCGTGTGTGTGTGTGTGTGTGTGTGTGTGTGCGTGGAGCTTCAGGTGAGCAGATTTCTCTCAACCCTTCCTGACACGGCTGTAGGAAGAAGAAGAGCAAAACGGGTCGAAGAAAGATGGAGCAGAGCGAGTGATCCTGCCCTGACCGCCCCATCTCTGTCCTCTGGGGTTAAAGGGGGGGGGGGGGGCTTTGCGGATTCCAAGGCTGAAGGTGTGTGTGTGTGTGTGTGTGTGTGGGGGGGGGGGGAGGGGGGGTCAAGTAGTGTTGTGAGGTGAATGATCATCGGCGGGGGGAAATCCCCCGCTTTCGCCGGCATTTGTCATCTGCTCAATCATCGGGGGCGTTTGGCGTTCCACTCGGTGCTCCACCTTGGGGGCTAGAGGGGGGGGGGGAGGGGATTCGTACCCGAGTCCGTAGAGTTTGTCAGTGATGCATCTGAGGGCCGAGAGACTTTTTGATATCCGGGAGCCGTTACTCATGACGACGGATGGAGGAGGACGTCTGAGGCCTCCTTTATGATGTCCTTATTCTCCCGAGTGCACCTCCTCCTCTTTATGCATGTGTCAACACCCCGCTCCCCCCGCCCCCCCCCCACGTCGTCAGGTACGCACTCTCTCTTTCCTCGTGATGTTCGCGGAGGGTCGGCCGCCGCTCGGCTTATCCGAAGTAGCTATGCTACACCCCCCCAAAAAAGCTGCTAGCAATTAACCCCGAAGCTTTCGTCTGAGAGGAGCAGGTGACCGGGCTAATGGGCTCGGCCTGTGTGATTGTGTGTGTGTGTGTGTGTGGGGGGGCTGTTTTGGAGGAAACAGCTGAGTAGTGAAAATAAGCCGCTGCATCAGCTCCGCTCTCTGAGAGTAGAATCATCCCAAAAAATGAACTAAGAGCTGTACAAATAAATTTGACTAAAGACGCCAAAAAGCGTGAATGTAATTTCCCGCCAACATTAGTTATTAGTTTTACGTGTTAAAGCAGTTTTATTCACCCGATTAAAGATTCCCATTTTTTTACATTTTGTGTAAAAACCTGAATCAACTTTTCTTTTGTTCGTAGCTTTGAATA